TTTATTTAGAGACAGGGTCTCCCTGAGTGGCTTAGGGCCTCACTAAGTGGCTGAGGCTGGCCTCCAACTTGCGATCCTCCTGCCTCAGCCTCCCGAGCTGCTGGGATGACAGGTGTGCGCCACTGATGCATTTCAAAAGGGCCAACTCTGAAGCCCCCTTGGGTGCTGGCTAATTTGTAACAACTGGCGTCCCAGCTCCACCAGGAACATCGCTGCCTTTCCATCCTCTTCTTTGGTGACAATATTCCCAGCCTTGGCCAGTTCCAGGCCACCATTGTGTAGTTAGCCAGCCCCCAGGATTTCTCCAGAATTGGACAGTCACCCAGCACCCTATCAGGGTGCCCCCAGAGTGTCCACTCAGCCCGTGTCCCCACCGACCTGACCTGGAAGAATGTTCACTCTGCCCTTGCTGTCACCTCACACCCAGCCAGGTGTCCCAGGCCGACCCTCCGGGTATGATTGGTTCTAGCAAGATCTGGGGACCGGCCGTGCTCTGGGGCTTACCCTTCAGCTCCTGCGGGGTCAACTTGGTGGCTACAGCTCAGGGAGCAAGCTGGCCACTCTATATCTACAGTCAAACCCGTGTGCCACCTTCTCAGGATGGTTTCTCTACATGTCCCTGTTTCTGTCATCCCCACCCACGTTCCTCCACTGACTTGGGGTCACAGTGCCCCTGCCTTCTCTAACTCCGGCTCATTCATTCCTTCGAGTCAAGGCAAGCACCAGGCAGAGCCTCTGTCCCTTCCCAAGGAGAGCACAGTCCCCTCCTCCCTACTCCTCCCCTGCTGCCCTTCAGCTCCTCCCGTGGTTTCTTTGCCGGCTTTTCCCTGTCCACACAGTCGCCAGGACCCCCTGTGGCAGCTTCCAGCGCTCCACCTTTGGCAGCCCCAGCCTCCCGCAGAGCTCAGGGCTGCAGGCTTGCTGGCTTCTTCCTGCCCGTGCCTTCAGCCATGGGGACGGGACCGTCTCCTTTTGCGATTTGGTGTGACATCCCATCTGGGCTGCTCATTTTTGTCTTTGGCGGCGTCTCTGTAACAGCTTTGAGACGTAATCTGCATGTCATGCAATTCGCCCATTGAAAGTCTGCAATTCAGATTTTTCCAGCATTGCTAGGGATTGAACCCAGATTCTCTGTGTGCCCGGCAAGTATCCTACTAGGGAGCTGTATCCAGATGTGCGGCCATTACCACAGTCATTTTACACACTCACACACAGAATATATATGTATGTATATAATTTAGAGACAGGGTCTTGCTTAGTTGCTTAGAACCTCACCAAGTTGCGACTCACGAGCCACTGGGATCATAGGCACACACCTCCATGCCTGGCCACTACAATGATTTTTATAACATTTTCACCCCCTACCCCCAAATATCCTTACCCTGTAACTATCAGCCCCGTCCCTCATTTCCCTAAGCCCAGGTAACCACTAATCTACTTTTTCTATCTAGAGAATTGCGCAGTCTGGACATATATAACCTACCGCATACGTGTGGCCTCTGGGATCCTATGTCTTTAACCTGGCAGCGTGTTCTCAAGGGCCATCCACGTCGTGGCATGCATCAGTATCTTCATTCCTGTTCATGACTGAATAGTATTCCTTGTCCAGAGACACTTCATTTTCTTTGTCCACTCATCAGATGATGGACATTTGAGCTGTTTCCTTCCTGGCCATCATGGGTAATGCTGATACAAATATTAGTGTGCAAATTCTTGTTTGGACATGTTTTTGTTTCTCTCTGATATTCAGCTAAGAGTGAATTGGTCTAGGTTTCGTCTTTTATCGAACTTCCAGACTGTTTTTCCATAGTGGCTGACCCATTGTATTTTCTGACCCGCAGTGTATTAGGGTTCTGATTTCTCTACATCTTTGCCACCACTTTTTGTTTTGACTTCTTTTGGTACCAGGGACTGAACCCAGCGGCCCTTGACCACTGAGCCCCCTCCCCAGCCCGATTTTTGTATTTTATTTAGAGACAGGGTCTCCCTGAGTTGCTTAGTGCTTTGCTTTTGCTGAGGCTGGCTTGGAACTCGTGATCCTCCTGCTTCAACCTCTCAAGCCACTGGGATGATAAGTGTGAGCCACCACACCCAGCTCTGGCCTTGACACACACACACACACACACACACATATTTTTTTGGTTGTCAATGAACTTTATTTATTTATACGTGGTGCTGAGGATCGAACTCAGTGCCTCACATGTGCTAGGCGAGTGCTGTACCACGGAGCCACCACCCCAGCCCTGGCCTTGACTTTTCCATTCTAGCTCTCTCAGTGGATGCAACTGGCTTCTTGTCGTGGTTTAATTTTACATTTCTCTAATGACAGAGGATGCAGAGCTGCTTCAGAACATTCTGTTCGGGTCCTTTGCCCGGTATTCAGTCAGTTTCACGTGACTATAACAAAATACTTGAGATAATCAACTTATGAAGAGGAAATGTTCATTCTGGCTCCCAGTTTTGTATATTGTCTTCTGTGATGGGTTGGCCTTATTGTTTTGGGCCGGTGGCAAGAGTGTCACCTTATGGTGGGGACATGTGGTGGGGCAGATGGCTCCTATCATAATCCAGGAAGCAAAGAGGAAGAAGAAGAGCTTGGGATCCTGCAGTACCCCTTAAGGGCAGAGTCCCTGACCTAAGGACCTCCTGCCGCCCCCCTCAAAGGCCTGTCACCTCCTGGTCATGCTGGCCCAGGCCCAAGGCCTCCCCTTTGGGGAAACTTCTCCAGACCACCACAGCACCCATTTTTAAAAATCAGAGGGTTTTTTCTTTTTCTTTTTCTTTTTTTTTTTTTTCTTTATCATGAGTTGTGTGAAGTTTTAGGTATATTCAAGATAAACTTCCTCTTCAGGTATTTGATTTGCAAATATTTTCTCCCATCCCATGGGTTATCTTTTTAGGTGCTGGGTTGTGTCTTTGGATAAGCAAAGCTTTACACTTGGGAGAAGTTGGCTTTTACCTTTGGGGTCATTTTTAAGGTGACCTCGATGAAGCCTTCAAGGCTTACCCCCGTCTCCTGGGAAGAGTCGTCATTTTAGCTCTTGCTTTTAGGTCGCTGAACTATCTTGAGTTGGTTTTTGTGGCTGGTGGAAGGTGTGGGTCCAACTTTACTCCTTGGCACGGGAGTAGGAAGTTGTCCCCACACCATTAATTAAAGAGGCTGTTCTTTCCCCACTGAATTCTCTTGGCTGTGTCACCTCGTGGCTGATGGCATTCTGAGGGCGGGGAGGGGTCAGTAGCCAGCTCCCACCAGTCACCACCTCTTCAGGGTCTCATCTCCTGTAAGAGCTCCAACACTCGAGCCCCAGGAGACAGACTCAGGCCCTATCCAGGCCACAGCAGGATCTTATTGAAAATCAGGGGATTGTTTATATATGGATCCATTTCCTAGCACCATATTCTCTTTATTGATGTACGCGTTAGCATCATTAATTAGCTATTTGGTTTGTAAACACCCTGAATACTAGAGGGACCTCTATAGTGTTTAGTTACCACAGAAATATTGGTGGTAAAAAAGTCAAAACACAAACATGAGGAGGGGAGAAGGGGATAAAGACCCAAGAGGCAGCCCCTCCTCCCCCTGAGAGCTTGGGTCGGTGTCCCCCTGGGTCCTGCTCTGAGCAGTTCCCAGTCTTGTGCCCGTGTCCATACGTGAAAATCCACACTTGCCTTTGTAAATGTGGATATGCATAGACCACACTCAGCTAGATTTGTGTTTTCTGCTTTTTTTTTTTTT